TCAAATACGCGCAATACCCCTAGTAGTAGTAGTAGTAGTAGTAGTAGTAGTAGTAGTAGTAGTAGTAGTAGTAGTAGTAGTAGTAGTAGTATAGTAGTAGTAGTAGTAGTAGTAGCAGTAGTAGTAGTAGTAGTAGTAGTAGTAGTAGTAGTAGTAGTAGTAGTAGTAGTAGTAGTAGTAGTAGTAGTAGTAGTAGTAATGGTAGTAGTACTAGTAGTAGTAGTAGTGGTAGTAGTAGTAGTAGTAGTAGTAGTAGTAGTAGTAGTAGTAGTAGCAGTAGTAGTGGTGGTAGTAGTAGTAGTAGTAGTAAGCACTCCGGCTCAGCTGTCCTAGCAGCGTTGTGGAGATGTTGCATCTATGCCATGGAGCGAACCTTGCGGTGGAGTCCGGCTCCGAAACGTGATGATCACAGTCCTATAGTGCAGCGAGCCGCACTAGCGCTACTGTTGACGCTCGCCAGCTGGGTGCCTTTTGGCCCCAACAAAGGGCGCGTGGTCGACTGAAAGCCTTTGCCCCTGGCTTGCCAACGCGTCAGTCTGAAGCCAGCCCCGTTGCAAGTGCGTGTTTACCAAGTTTACCAGCAGCTAGGAGTTGGCGCAACTTTTCCTGCAGTTGGTGTTGCAAGTGCGTGTTTACCAAGTTTACCAGCAGCTAGGAGTTGGCGCAACTTTTCCTGCAGTTGGTGCAAGCAAGAGGTCGATGCCGCCTGCATCCCTCCTGGGTGCGCGCCGTCAGGCCGCCCCATTGAGAGCACGCTCGTCAGCTGGGTGCCTCTTGGCCCCAACAAAGGGCGCATCGGTCGACTGTGTGCCTTTGGCCCTGGCCTGCCAACGCGGCAGTATTGCAAGTGCGTGGCTACCAGCGATCAGGAGTTGGCGCAACTTTTCCTGCAGCTGGCGCAAGCATGACGTGGCTGCCACCCGCATTCCTCCTGGGCGCGCGCCGTCAGGCCGCCCCATTGAGCGCATAGTGCCACACCTCCTTATAGATAGCCGGCCCGGTCCCAAGTCCGGGGTGGGATGCCGACTGACGACTCTACTTGCTTTGTCAGGTGTCCCACAGTGTGAGGGTTCCAGCTCTTTCCGTTGGAGCTGGGGAAGGCAACTCCCTTGCCTATCAGCGACGACTTCAGGTGCCGAAGCTAAACGGAGTTCAGGTCACAGATGGGAAGCAGGGACCTACTCACAAGTGGAACCGATGTGTCAAGAGATCCTTTATGCCAGCTTGCAATAGAGCTACTCGACATTGCCACGCGCAGCCCTTGTGCCTGTGAACCTCTAGTTTTATCAAGATACCCGAGGAGTGTGTAGCTGCAGATCATCGCTGCCTTGTCCCGAATGCTGACCGACTGCCGGCGGCGGCAACTTACCCTATCCTCGGATGGGATGGCCCGCACTGGGCCCCGGCCCCACGTATGCTTCGAGATGTGGTCTGGGTTTTGACGTTACGTCCTTCCGGTCACAGTTAGTAAGTGCGAGAAAGCTGTGTTCTGGCGATGCTCTGCGGCCAGACCTTTCTTGGGTACTGAACTACACGGCCCCCAGTGTGCCCTCCAAGGGCCACTTGCAGTTCACAGGACTACAGGGCGCTGAACGTGGTCCTCAGTGCGCCCTCTTGGGGCCACTTGCAGTTCATAGGACTACAGGGTGCTGTGCGTGGTCCTCAGTGTGCCCTCCTGGGGCCACAGCAGTTCTCAGGACTGCACTTTGTACAGAGAAACACCATGATGAATGCAAGATGCCATAACAGATGGCTGTAGCGATGTCGATAGCTCTACGACCTGTTTTCATGTTTTACGTTTTCGCTTTCTACTTATCTGATTTTGCACTCTTCTGATCGAGTGAAGGGTGCACTGGTGCACCATTCTCTTGACAAGTTGAGTAGGCCGCAAGTTTGCAGCTATTCGTAGCGGGACTTGCCCATGTGGTTCTAGTGCTCTTGAAGCACCGGTGCAATGCGCTGCCACGTACCTGACGCTAAGCTGAGAGACCGGCTGCGATTGGAATGAAAATAGTAGTAGTAGTAGTAGTAGTAGTAGTAGTAGTAGTAGTAGTAGTAGTAGTAGTAGTAGTAGTAGTAGTAGTAGTAGTAGTAGTAGTAGTAGTAGTAGTATTAGTAGTAGTAGTAGTAGTAGTAGTAGTAGTAGTAGTAGTAGTAGTAGTAGTAGTAGTAGTAGTAGTAGTAGTAGTAGTAGTAGTAGTAGTAGTAGTAGTAGTAGTAGTAGTAGTAGTAGTAGTAGTAGTAGTAGTAGTAGTAGTAGTAGTAGTAGTAGTAGTAGTAGTAGCAGTAGAGTAGTAGTAGTAGTAGGTAGTAGTAGTAGTAGTAGTAGTAGTAGTAGTAGGGTAAGTAGTAGTAGTAGTAGTAGTAGTAGTAGTAGTATATAGTAGTAGTAGTAGTACTAGTAGTAGGTAGTAGTAGTAGTAGTAGTAGTAGTAGTAGTAGTAGTAGTAGTAGTAGTAGTAGTAGTAGTAGTAGTAGTAGTAGTAGTAGTAATTAGTAGTAGTAGTAGTAGTAGTAGTAGTAGTAGTAGTAGTAGTAGTAGTAGTAGTAGTAGTAGTAGTAGTAGTAGTAGTAGTAGTAGTAGTAGTAGTAGTAGTTGTAGTTGTAGTTGTAGTAGGAGTAGGAGTAGGAGTAGGAGTAGGAGTAGGAGTAGGAGTAGGAGTAGGAGTAGGAGTAGGAGTAGGCGTAGCAGTAGTCGTCGTCGTCGTCGTTGTCCCGCTACGCTGCCTGACACTTGTCCATTGACTGGACAAGAGCCCCTCGCCCGGGCTAGGGGCGCCTTCAAGTTTGGCTGGCAGGCGAGAACACTTGGCAAACTGAGCTGGGGTTTCTGCTGCAAGTCGTCCTTTCAAAGCCTTTTGCAGGTCAGTGTTTAGGTGCGTCGCATGGACTCGGTCCCAACGAATGGGTTGTTTATCACCAGTGAGTGGCGCGGCTCAGCTCACCATGTTTTTTAAGAAAGCCCGCTGGTGGCACAGAAAGACAAACTGCACGAAAACCTGCGACCATCCTGATTTTAAAAAATACAAAAACACCAGAAACGAGGGTTTTTTTTTTGCATCATTTTTCAGGGACAGGCGGAGCCGCTAAGCAGGCGTCGGAACTGCCAGATTGTGGAGGGAAAACGGCCTGTGCCACTGCTGAGGGTGGTTATTTCAAGTTCAAGGTCTTTTTAGCTTCGCATCAAACTTGTGCCCGTGGGACGGCTCCCTGTCGGTAGTTATTGGGTGACTGGCAGGATAAGGCCAAAAGTCCCGAAAGCTGGCGCTGGGCAACTGTTTGAGAGGCAAAGGAAGCCAAAGGATCTCTTGCCGATAGCTGAACATGCCGCTGGCAGCGGCAGCCACAGTACTTGCAGGCTTGGCTGACCCCCCATGGACGAGCAATTCAAGAAGGGCGAAGTGGACAGCGCTGTAAAGCGATTCTCGCAATTGGTGGAGGGCAGGGTTTGATCTGGGACTTGCAGAACACGCTCTGGTGGTCTGCCAAAACTTATTTGGAGCAAATGCCTGCCCTTCAAGCCCTTGTGGGTGCTTAGGTCTTGCAGATGAGTCGGAGAGGGCCCGGCTTCGCTACGCTGGCCGTGATGCTGCGGGCAAAGAACTGCGGTTGGTGAGATGAGGTGACAATGGAACTGATGGCGATGACTGGTAATTCTTGGTGCTTCGTTTCGTTTGTCTATATGTTTTGACTGCGCGCTTGATCTCGCCATTGGACGGACTGGCATCTGGCTGAGTTGCTGGATTTTTTGTTGGCCGCTTTACAATGTGGCCATGGCTGACGAGCGAACGCGCTTGACCCCTATCTGGTGCCTTGAGGAGGCGACAAGATGTGGGAATGGTCAAGACAGGCGGACGTTTGCTGTGCGTTCGTTGCGATCCATTTATTTTCATGGCAGTATATGGATGTGATTGAGTGCACTATGAGGAGCGTTTTCATGTCGTCGCATTTTGCGAAGCGGATCAGCTTTGCATCTCGAGCTCCATTGAAGACCATGGGCGGTTTTCTGAATATCGGAACGCTGGATTCTGCATCGACTTGTTCAAGAAATGAGCGCACGAGGATCCCATGTTTAAATTTGTCCCGCTCTTTGTTGGTTCTGTGTTTTTTGAGGTCGCATCCACGAAAGAAGCAGAAAACCAACAGCCAGACATCGGCAGAAAGCACCACGCTGGCGTGGCAATTCAAGGGCTTCAAGGCACCGACAACAAAAGAACTGCTGGCGTGTTGCGCATAGAACTCACTGTTCCAACGCATCTCACAAGTGGCCTCGAGGATGTAGCGAGAAAGGACATATTGGCGCCTCGAGTCTTGTCGATCCAGCGACATTGGTTGGAGGGTGACGCAGTGGGTTTCAAACGACTGTATGGCTTGGTGTAACAAAACCCGACGGATCGCTGTGCTTGGCCAGCTCTGAGGGTGCATGTTGGACCAGCTCTCATTTTGAATGAACTGCATGTAGGCTGTGTTTTAGATGGACGTTCTTTTTTTATGGCAATGGCGCCACTTGACCGCGTCAGCAGCACAGTAGCCGTTTTGTCTTTCGGAAGTGAAACGTCCCAACCGCTTCTGTTTTGCTTGCCTGGCTGGCTGCCGCTCCATCCCAAACTGCCAGATGCTGGACGCTCCCCATCTCGATAAACAGTAGACGTTCCACCCTTTGAACAGTAATATCGTCCAGTACTGGTACCAGTATTGGTAGTTTTCTTCGCAGTAGCAGTAGCATGTAGTAGCTAGAGCAATGGACTGAATATGAGCCTGAATGTTGTGCCCAAGTGCGTTGCTGATCCCAAACGTTGAATAGTCTCGAGTTCAGAGCTGACGACATGTACTCTACGTAGCCTGGTCGACCGGGTCGGAAACTGATGACAAACTGGGAGTGGAAGCTGGCGTTCCCGTCATGCCAGCTTTCAAATCAAAGCGTGGGATTCAAGGAAGTGCTCGCAGTCTTCCGGCTCGTCTGACAAGCTAGTCTGAGGCAGGCAGCATGTTGCCATACGATGCTTCCGTTTCCCCCCCATGATGCGCTCGATGAAGTGTTGGTCGCAGCACCTGTGGACCAGGCGCACTTCGAGCTTGGGGGCTTGTACCTACTTGCATTGTGGTTCGTAGCTTTTCGACCCTGCGCACTCTACTAGTCGAATTTGCCACAAGTTGGCTTAGCGAGGCCAGCTGCAACATGTTAGGCAGAAGCCGTGACACAAACTTCAGGTGCCTCCAAGGCTGTCATGACAGGACAGTAGAAAGACCTTGCAAGTCTGGCAGCGGTTTGACGTTTTGCAATCTTGCTGTTGGTCATTGTACAGTATTAATATGTCTTGGGAGTGTTCTTTGAACACATTCCTGTGCAAAGAGCGGACACCCACAACTGAGCGGTTGGCAGGAGCTGCGGGAAGCTGACTCAGAGTTAACAACCGGCGAGCCAACAACCGGCCACTTGGCCACTGGCACAAGTTCGAGTCGTGAACATGGTGTCATTTTTGCGCACCGGGAGGGTGCCCGAATGCTCTGCGGTGAGTTGCATGACTCTGGCAGGGCTGAGGAGCCTTCTTTGGAAGTTGGGGATTGTTTCGCAAGGGGGTTTGGTGTGCGCAGAGTTTTCCAGGGGACTTGCTTGCAAAGGGGGGGTGTCGGATTGTTTTGTTCAAACATCGAAGGTGCTGATTCGGCAGCTGTGTCAACAGCATCCGCAGCGCAGCCAGATGCAGAGGGTCAGGCCAAGCGCGCGAACCTATCTTCACGGCATGCTGTATCGGTCAGAGGTTGAAAACTTGATCTGAAGTCCACAGTTGGCCAGGAGGCGCAGGAAGCTTGTGGTCCAGCGGCAGCGGCAGCGGCAACCAGCAGCTTGGCCACTGGCAGGAGATGGCACGAGATGGCAAGAGACAGGGCAACTAGCAGCATTGCATGCTGGTGTTTACATGTGGCAGTTTGCTCGTTGATTAACAAGACCGAGAGTGCATGGCATGAAGCTTCATGGTTGCATGGGGTCGTCGCTGTGCCCAGGCCTCCCTTCGCGGGCTGCTAAGGAGCTTCTGTTGACGGCATGTTTCAGGGCGGTGAAGGTTTTGCATAGCGTTCTAACTGAAGCGAGAGGGAGGGGGGTGGTTGTTTCTAGACTCGTAGACATGCCTTTCAATGCACATGTGCAATCTACAGATGATTAGATGTGATTTGTGACGAAAGCACCGTGATCAAGTTGCGGAAGGACAGACAGTGCTTGCGTTCCCAGCAAGCAGTTTCATTGACTGCGCAGGAATTGCCGCCTTCGGCAGAGGATGCTGCGTGTGCACGTCACGGCCCTACTCTGCACCCACTTTATAGCTTCGCGTGTTCCGCTCTGGTGTCAGGATATGAGGCATGCAAGACAATTGGCCCATCCTCCAATCCCCCTGCAGAGAGCGTCAGTGCACAAGGCCTCTTCCAAGTTTCCCAGTTGCAGCGAATAATCCAAACGAGCATCCAGCACCGCTGCCCTGAAGTTTTCCTCAGTGGGAGCCGCCAGTGTACCCAAGGACTTCGGCTATCCTCACGAGGCTGGGCGAAGGACGTCGCGCAGGGTCCTGGTTCTCGCATTGTACGTTCTTTAAACTCGCGTTTCACACAAAAAGCTCTACACGGCCCTTGCCCTTTCGCGAGCTCCTGACTTTGTGGCTCTCTTTAAGAGCAATATGTGCTTGCAATGGGAGGTAGATGGTAGATGCAGTGTGTTGAGGGACGGTTCGTGCTGCAAGTTACGCCAGAGTCCCGGGTGCCTGAGAGTTAATAGTTAATGGTTAATAGTTAATAGTTAATAGTTAATAGTTAATAGTTAATAGTTAATAGTTAATAGTTAATAGTTAATAGTTAATAGTTAATGGTTAATGGTTAATGGTTAATGGTTAATAGTTAATAGTTAATGGTTAATGGTTAATGGTTAATCGTTAATAGTTAATAGTTAATAGTTAATAGTTAATAGTTAATAGTGAATAGTGAATAGTGAATAGTGAAGAGTGAAGAGTTAAGAGTTAAGAGTTAAGAGTTAAGAGTTAAGAGTTAAGAGTTAAGAGTTAAGAGTTAAGAGTTAAGAGTTAAGAGTTAGCAGTTAGCAGTTAGCAGTTAGCAGTTAGCAGTTAGCAGTTAGCAGTTAGCAGTTAGCAGTTAACAGTTAACAGTTAACAGTTAATAGTTAATAGTTAATAGTTAATAGTTAATAGTTCTGCGACGAAGCCACCGAGAACGCGCAAAACAAATCTAGGTGGGTACACGGCAAGGCATTTCTCAGTTCCACACAGATTGTACTCAAGCCTGCAGTGAGGTGGTGGGGCTGGGCCAGCTGGGCTCACACCGACGACGCCACTTGGATGGGCTGGCTTAGGCTGACCTAGAGTGGCCGGGTGTCGAGCAGATCTGCGATCAATTTTGGGTGACCATCTTGCTCACGGTTCATTGCGCCAGTACACGCGAGAGTGAACAAGCAACAAGGGTTGTGCAGAACCGCTTCGCCTCCCGCAATCATTGCTTCACATGGTCTTAATGGGTAAGCCTCTCTTCCTTGTCCTTGTCAGGGGCACTCTTGATTCCGGATTTCAACTATTCGCGGTCATGGGACAGGTCGAAGCCTGCTTTCGGTTCGCTGTTTCGCTTCTTCGATTGGTTTGTTCTCTTCAATTGTGTGCATTTCTACTACTCACCAGGCCAGTCCGAGTCTGAGTCAGGCGAAGGCAGCCAGGCAACGAAACAATGCAACGCCACCAAGTTACTTCTCGTAGCCATCCCAGGCGTGTTGAGGCAAGGGTCTGTCAAGTTCATCCAGGGCCTAGGGCTGGTTGCCTGCATGTCTGCCGTACAGTTGATGCAGAAATTCGTGACTTGCTTCGGCAAGACAGCTTCAAGCCGAGGCCATCGCCCATCGGACTAGGCCAGTCGAGTTGCAGCTTCGGTCTCCGTGGTACGTGAAGCCGTTACCCTTTGGCCAATGGTCCGTGTCTGCACCAGCAGGTTGTACCACTGCCACTGCTTCATCTTCCTCACCAGCTCCTGCATCGCAAGAATGCCTGCTGGGTTAGCCTTAAACCCTCCCTCTCCTATGTATGTAACGGATAATGCAAGAACTGTCAATGTGCCCACCGTTGTTCATGCAAAAGCGGTCAATCTGCGCCAGGGTAAATGCAAAAACGGTGGATGTCCACCAGTGTTCATGCGAAAATGATTATATTGCACCAGTGTTAATGCTTTTTTGCACCAAGAACGCTGGCCATTAACCGTGTTTGCATCAAGGACGCTCCTGATTGTCCGATTTGCATCAAGCCATAGTATAGTGGAGTCCAGTATAGTGCAGTAATTCCATATACGAAAGAATACTACAAGCCTCGCGGCATTTCCATCAAACCGATATAGTGCAATACGACGAATCTATTGATGTTCTTTGTATCAAGAACGGCGTCGAAAGACCTTTTTGGCATCAAGAGCGGTGGCCAGAGACCATTTTTACAGCCACTCGGCCACCGTTCTTGGTACAAAAACTGCGAATTTCATGGCTACCGAACTTGATGCACCATTCTTGATGCAAAAACGGTCAATAGCCACTGTTTCTTGGGCGAGCTTCGGGTTTGGGCTCTAGGATTCGGGCCCTTGGGTTCCGACTATTGGGTTCAGGCGCTAGAGTTTGGGGCTGAGGGTTCGGGCTATCTGACCCTACTTGTAGGGTTCGGAGCTTAGGGTTGGGGTGTTCGATCTCTAGGGTTTGGGGCCGCTGGGGGTTTGTTTGGGTTTAGGGGGAGGGCCTATTTTGTTGGGCCTTTCCTGTTTTTGGGGTCTTTGGATTTGTTCATGTCCGGCCAAAACCTAAGTAGAAGAAGAAGAAGAAGAAGAAGAAGGAGAAGGAGAAGAAGAAGAAGAAGAAGAAAAAGAAGAAGAAGAAAAAGAAGAAGAAGAAGAAAGTAAACAAAGAACGGAAGAAAGAAAGAAAAAGAAAGAAGGAAGGACAGAGAGAAAGAAAGAGAGAGAGAGAGAAAGGGGGCCTTCATAACTGACCGGAGTGGCCGGGGGTTCTCTCTCGGGGGGGACCCTCTTCGATGGGTAGAAGAAGAAGAGAGAAAGAAACAAAGAAGGAAGGAAGGAAGGAACGAAAGAAAGAAATAAAGAAAGAAAGAAATAATTAAAAAAAGGAACGAAAGAACGGAAGAACGGAAGAACGAAATAAATGAAGAAGAAAGAAAAAGAAAAAAAAACAAATAAATAAAATAAATAAATAAAGAAATACATAAAGAGAGACTACAACTCGAGAAATAACGAGAGAGAGAGAGAGAGAGCAGGCAAACAAAAATCGAATGAACTGTTGAAAGAAAGAAATACAGAAATGCAAAAGTACAGAAAAGCTTGTTTCAAAGCCTATGAGTGGGTCAGCAGTTCAGGCTTCTGCTTCGTAGTTTCTTTGTCTTTCTCACTCCCCTCGATACAACGGGCTTAGGGTCTGAGGGGTTAGGGTTCAGAATTGAGGGTGCCAGTTTCCCATATGAAACTTGTTGAAACTGATCTTGCCAGCATTGTGCAAAGGGGGGCGGCGGCTTCTTCAAGCCGTGCAAGAGCTTGCTTCCAAGCATATGAACCTTTCTTGAAACCCATCATGCCAGCATTGTGTTTGCAAATGGGTGGGCTGCGCCCCGCCAACCCCCCCACATTTTGCAGCTGTGCAAGCTTGCTTCAAAGCATATGAGTCTTCTCAAGCCCATCATGCGAGCATTGTGGTTGCAAATCTGGCCCCAACCGCTCCCCTTGTTAACGCCGTGCAAGCTTGCTTCAAAGCAGCCTTCGCCTTGGGCTTTTTTTAAGACATACGAGTTTTTGAAAACCACATCACGAGCATTGTCTTTGCAAAGGGGGGGCGGGGGGGGCGCCCCCCCGTCAAAGCCCCTGCTTTTTTAAGCCGTGCAAGTTGAAGCATATCAGTCTTTTCGAAACCCATCATGCGAGCATTGTGTTTGCAAATGGGAGGGGGGGTTGCGCGACCACAAGCGCCCCGTTTTGCTTTGTTCAAGCCGTGCAAGCTTGTTGCAACCCCCTCCCCGGGTTTTTTTACGCCATGCAAGCTTGCTCAAAGCATATGAACTCTTGAAGCCCATGATGTGAGTATGGTGTTTCCAAATGGGGGGCCGCGCGCCCCCCCCCCACCCCCCCGCTTTTGTTAGCCGTGCAAGATGAGTCTTTTTGCCACACCGCACCCCCACCCCCACCCCCCCCCACACCCCCACCCACCCCCACCCCCACCCCCACCCCCACCCCCACCCCCACCCCCACCACCCCCACCCCCACCCCCACCCCCACCCCCACCCCCACCCCCACCCCCACCCGCTAATACCGATTTCACATGAAAAGTAGCATGAACCTAACAAAATATGAAGGGAACAGAGGCTTTTCTATGGGAAAACCAAGAAAACAAACATTATGAGGGATCCGGGATTCGAGCAAAATTAAGTGAACAAACAAACGAAAAGTAGTATAAATCCTATGATTTTCCCAGGAAAAACCAAGAAAACGGACCAAAAAAAAAACCAAAACCCAAAACGAGAACAGGTTTAAGGCTTGGAGTTTCAAGGTTCGGGCTCTAGGGTTCGGGCCGTAGGGTTAAAGACCGAGAAGCGAAAGGAATGACATGGTATCCGGACATAGACCACAGTTGTAGGGACAGAGGTCCGAACGCAGAAGTTGCTTATTGTGGCATCTGAATGGACCTCTGAAGAGTTCTGTTTTTGAGGAGTGTGCGTGACTTCTCCTAACTGTTTTGCTTATTGGGGCATCTGCATGGCTCCGGGCGTCTACATGAGTTCTCCGACTTGTTTTGCTTACTTGGGATGACACGCTGTATATACGTTCTGAAGATATGAGATTTTCCATACTGGGGAGATGCATGTCTAAGTGAAGCTTTGCGAATCTCTGCGCTTTCCGCTCAGAATTCTGCTGGGTTGTCGTCTTTTGTATTCTTTTATTTGATGTTTGGGATGTTGAAGGAACCATTCTGTAGCGGCGTCCTGGTAGAGACAAACCCTTACCTGGAGCATCCTGAGCCCTTCTGCAGAAGCTTTGTCATTTCAGAAAGCTATCGCAGGTTCGTGGCGCTGCACGGGCTCCTTTCGCGTCAGCGGATTTCTCAGACATGGGAAAGATGCGTGACGATGAGGATGGGGAAGGTATATCAGATGCGGAGACCGAAGCTGATTTGCAAGAGCTAAAGGCGCGTACCATGTATCGCATGGTGGAAGACATAACACTGGCTTCTGGGTCTAAGCACAAAGTATTGTTCGTGACAAACAAGCAGGCACGCCTTCTTGCGAGCACACCAGGCTCCATCAAGCGTGTGTTAGAGGCTTTTGAAATTCCGACACCAAAGCTGGTCATTCGATTCTTGCAATCAAGCGGAAGCTGTGCTTGGGTACAGACTCGACAGAGAACCAACGTGACAGTGGCACTGCCGTGGGAGAAAGACATGGAAGACGCGTTGCTTGCGGAGGAGAGGCTTTACAACTTCATGGAAGAAGTCCTGGTCCCGTTGGCTGTGGACACCAATGCTCTCATACTTGTGCATGCAACTGGTGGCAGCTGTCTGCTGACAGAAGCTTTGTCCAAAGTCATGCAGATACACCGAAGCCGTTTTGGCATACACCGGCGTTTTAGTGTTTTGGCTATGACATGCGACATGAAGCAGGTTTATGCTTATGAGGAACCTACTGCCGCGTGGCATCAATTTCGGAAGGCTAGTCCCACGTGGAGAAGGCGACACAGGACTCTACTCAGCAAATTCTTCGGTGCCACTGGGACAGTCGGCTCATATGATTTGAATGGTAGCTTCGATCACTACCTTCTGTGCGACGGGGTCAACGAACTGGAAAGGGAGATCGATCACACAGCATTTGGGTCTTTGACTTCGGCCCTTACTCAACATTTGATGGAACATTTGCCATGCATTGCATTTAAAACAGGGATTTCAAACATGGTTGAGGGGGATGAGGCTTCGCTTGGGGCGGTTCTGACCTCGTTGGAAAGCGGCAGCCCAACGATACTTGTCAATCCACGGAAGTGGCCATCAGACGTGAGACTGGAGGGAGTGAAGGAGGTCTACGAAGAGCTTGAGGAGACTCTGCATGCTGCAGGATGTAAATGGGATTATAATGACTCTATGGCGACTAGCTTGTTCTACATAGCAATGCAAAATTCCCAAGAGGATCGTGGTCCTACGGCAGAAGCGGAGATTCGCGTGCAGGTTGAAGACTTAATGCATTGGTTCAGCGAAAAATACACCAAGGGCTTTGATACATACAAGAAATTTGCTGACGAGAAAGCAAAAATGACGCAGGCATACGCTCGTGCTCTGCAAATGTCAAGGATAATCAGACATCATCACTTGCGCGTCGCTCATTGCTCAGACCTGTCTGGGTGCAAGGAGGAGATTCAAAAGGTGGTCATACGAGACAGATTGCCAAAGACAGAGGATGCTCAAGGTGTAGCCCTGCTAGCCGACGCTTGGTCTGAGTTCGATGCCAAGTTTTACCTTTCAGACCGTTACAAGTTGATCAGCAAAAGGACGTATGCAGGGGTATTACTTTTGACAATATTGGCCGTTGCATTATCTGTTCTCCTGGCAGATGCTGCCACCCTTGCTGGTGTCGAAGTGGACCCAAGTGCACCGACATTCATCACGACCTTGCTGGCTGCAAGCATTGCCTCCTTCTCTGCGCTTCTGAAACCCACAGAGCGCTGGCGTGTTCTTCGGAGCAGCGCCTGTACTTTGCAGAGTATTACATGGCACTATAGAACTCGCACAAAGATGTTCGGGATGTCATCTAACCATGAGAAACCCCAGAAAGTTTTGTGCGAGCGGATACGAGCATGGAAGAAATCAGTAGTTGCGGAAGGATCGAGTCTGCTTTTCAGTACAATGGAGAAAGCCTATCCAGATTCCATCTTTAGACATGCTCCACCTAACAAACTGGATCCGAAAGGCGACTCTGATGATTTCTATTCGCCAGTGAAGCCTTCCAGATATGTAGATTTTCGCTTGGTGCCACAAATTGCCTTCTATCAGGCAAAGATACCGACAGTTGGCAAGCGGCAGGGACAACTACGGATCGCTTTCTTGTTCTGTTCCTTCACCTCCGCAGCACTGAGCTTTTTTGGACTGAGCACATGGGTGGCTTTGTCAGCAAGCATCTATAGCTCCCTTACAGCATGGCAGGAGTTCTCAGGGTTGGATCTGAAGCTTCGCAGATATACAGAAGCTGTGCAGTCTCTGAAGAGCATCAAGACCTGGTGGACAAGCTTGACAGAGGTGGAGCAGGCTTCGCCTGATCGCATAAACCTCTTGGTCAATTCAGTTGAGGACAGCTGGGGAGGTTGGATACATGTTGCATAGAGCAACGTAGATAACGTAGCAGTCGGACTCTAAGTGCGCGGGGTGGAAGCCTTTGTCATGTCCTTCCCTTTCAGGAGGTGATTTGCCACGAGGTTGGTATTTGGGCAGCCAGCCTTGCCAAGCTGGAAGACAACAAGGCCTGGTTTGACATGCAGAAGCTCATGCGGGCTTTGCGTGGAATGTGAAGACACTGCCTGTGCTACACAGATTCAATGCCATGTCCTGCACAATACCTCGCTCAGTTCCTCCCTCACCTCAAACGTACCACGGTATTGAAAGTAGCAGCCAGGGCAGGTCCATGCTCCCCTGCAACAGTTTGTGCTGGTAGCTGCTTTGCTATGCTACGGTGCCAGTAGCATAGCGACGATATTGAATCATATCCTTGAGCAAGGGCTTGAAGTTTCTGACAGGCGTTTGCGAACGCGCAAGAAGATGAACCTGGAATGCGGAATGCTGGGGCAGGAGCTTAGGGATGCTTAGGCCTCGGCGAAGCGGGAAAACAACAATTGCAACAACAGTCTCTACATGCAGATCGTACAAGATTGGGGCTTGGGTGTTGGATATTGATGAAGCACGAGTTACAGTAGAGAGGATAAAAGGGCTTTGCAAGGCATGATTAGTCATTTCATGGAGTTGGAGATAGAAGCAGAAACTCTGACTTTTTGCAATTGCATCTTTGTAGTATATGACATAGGCGAATGTTGAGGGACGGACTTTTCGTAGCTAAGGGTTATAGAGGGTTATAGAGGGCAGGAGAGAGAACCAACCCCTTGAGGGAGGGGTAGCAGGAGCAGTAGTAGTAGCAGTTGCCAACGACGTCATCGTCGCAGCACGAAAGAAGTAGCGTCGTAGCAGTGCAGAAGTGCCAATCTATGCTGCATCATGCCTCAGTGTTTCGAAAAAATGTCTGGTAGAGGGCGCCAGGTCTGCAACCCCATTTTGGACACATGTCATGTACTTTTACCATCGTGCAGTTCAGTACAGAGTAGCGCAGTATGGTAAGCCTCAGCGCACAGTATCCCCATCTTGGCAGCTACGTTGTGTTAGGCAGTCCAAGTTTGCTCCTCCCCCTTTCGACTAGACAACTGATTCCTCCGATAAACTCGAACGCCTACACTTCCATTTTTCAAGTGCTTTGATACGGCTTCCCCAAGCCGCAAGTGACATCTTCAGCCCCCTAATACTGCCAGCTTTCACTTCAACATTTCATGAGGTCTTGTTGTTGCTGACATTGCAAGTGCCGCGATCCGTTGTTTTGTTTGTTCGGCCCATCTGCAGCAACGGTTTGACTTCAGATTTGCCATGTCGTTAGCAGTGGAATGTTCAGACAACACATTGATCTTATCATATAAGGTATCTTATAGTGCAGTGCGGAAACAGCTGCTGCGTGTGCCCGAAATGGAGGAGGTCGCTTCTTGGGCATGTCCTTTCTCAGAATCAAGGTTCGTTGAGGATAGAACCAGAAGTTGTAAGAGCTTTGGCCTCCGAGAAGCCCCCTCTCATTCAACATGCCCACCTGTGCAGAGAAGCCCCCTCTCATTCAACATGCCCACCTGTGCACGCTTCCTTGAGGCAGACTTGTTGGCCTTCCGGGATGCACATGGGTTGGACGAACGGTGCATGAGGCGCTGGTTTTTGATTGCTTACTGCGGGAATAGTGCGATGTTTCGTTGGAGTTGTCAGTCTTTTTGCATCCCCTTTAGAAGCTATGTGCCAAAGATTTGATTGGGAAACCCTGCCTGGTAGGGGCAAGAGGGTGGCTAAGGGTGCAGTGTTCAATGGGGCCAATAAAGTTGGCCAATTGACAGGATTTGGGGTAAGGCTTCGGGAGCGGGGTTGCAGGGTTAGGGAAAGTCATCTCTTCCAACCTGAATCCATCCTCTTGAACCGCCATTTAGGGTACAGGGTCCGGGGCTTCGGGGTCAAAACCCTAACAGCCTGGGAGCTTGTTTCGGCAGGGGCCTCGCCAGCCTCTCCGCCGGGGACCGTGCCCTGCATTTGCATGCCCATACCTGACAATGCTCCCAATTCCCAAACTGAAACCCTGCGTAGTTCTCCTCCCCCCAAAAAACCAAGGACTAAGGACGCCAAAAGACCAGCCCAAGTGTTGTAGCCTTCCACAAACTGAGCTGGTTACCATGAGAAGGATACTCGCAAAAGTTTCGACTCAGGTTTCGGGGTCTGAAAGGTTGGTTTTTGAGTCTTTCGGGAAGAGGCCGATTTGTGTGCATTCATTCGATGTCATTCGTGTAGCATGTGCGATGCCTTCGCAAGCTCGACATGATTTCTTTCTTCGGCTGCAGGGTGCTTGGGGGGGTTTGACTTCCAAACCCCCAAAAAACCCCCCAAACCCCCCCCAAACCCCCCCCAAACCCCCCCCAAACCCCCCCCCAAACCCCCCCACCCCCCCCAAACCCCCCCCAACCCCCCCAAACCCCCCCCAAACCACAACCACAAACCCCCCCAAACCCCACAAACTCCCCCCCCAAAAGCCCGCTTTTGCCGCCGCAGGACAGGTTGGTGGTCATGGATTCCGTGAACAGTATGCAGCATTGCACGCCGCGTTTTAGGGTTTAGGGTTTAGGGTTTAGTGTTTAGGGTTTAGGGTTTAGGGTTTTGGCCTTGAAGATTTCACGACCACCCCCCCCCCCCCCCACAACCATGGGGAAGGCCTGCTGAGCCCTACTAGCGCAGACCCCAAGACGGACACTCTAGATCAACCAGGCTTGCTTTCAGATAGCACAGGGGGGGCTTTGGGCTTCTTGCGGGCCCTCTCATAGCTCCAAGGCGTGCCATGGTCTCGTTGGATCGTAGAACCCTAAATCCGAAACCCTAAACCCTAAACCCTAAGCCCTAAACCCTAAACCCTAAACCCTAAACCCTAAACCCTAAACCCTAAACCCTAAACCCTAAACCCTAAACCCTAAACCCTAAACCCTAAACCGAGAGTTTCGGCCCGGCCGTCCGGCGGTTTGATGTAGGGCATCGAAATGCAGATGCAGGTGGTACCAGGTGGTTTGTTCAGATGCGGTTCTTCAAGGTTTCTGAAGCTTACTGGGGGGAGGGGGCTTCTAGGGCCGTTTGGAGGTTTGCGGGTTCGGTGTTTGTGCTCTGGTTTGAAGTTCAGGGTTTGGCTAAGCTTTGACTGTACGTAGCGGGGCTTCTCGGATGCAGAGTTCACGTTTTTGGTTCCATCCAGAAGAGCAGAGCCCGAATGTTGTGGAACCAGTTTGGAGTTGTCTGGGTCTTTCTGCTGTCCCAAGTGAGGCCTAGGTCTTTATTCATTTGAAGCCTTCCGCCGACTCGCAGCATGCAACCCTTTGAACGCTTCCACTTCAGTGTGCCTCCTGTTAATTCTTCCCTTAAATTTAAGTTTAGAGGTCAAGGGCCGACCCAGTCCCAAGTCCTGCTTGCGCACGTTTCTTGGCTCGAGCAACGTGTCCCAACTTGCCGCTTTGGGAGAGGGCCAGGACCTCATGGAGGGCTTGTTCTTTCTCGAATCACTCAAGCCGAAGCCCAGAGTCCAAAAAGCGGAGGCTGCCACCCAGCTAGCACGACAGACTTCGCTGAAACTTACATTTTCGGATTCGCGGTCGACGGGGCGAAGTTGCGAAAGTCTTGACAGAAGTCCGGAGCGTGAGTAGCGTCGCACAAGCACGTGAAAGGAACCTAGGGTCGACAGGGTTCAACAAGATCCAGAGAAGCGAGGTGATGGCCGGCCCACCCGGAGGAACGCCGGAGTCGGAGCCCTCGACATTTCCGGCCAAGTCATTGCAAGTCCCAAAATTTTTATGGTCAAGAGGTCCAGGGCCTGTTTAGGGTTTAGGGCCCGGGAGAGCACGATTTAAGTGCGGGGCTTGGTCACCGAAGTGCATGGCCCCAGACTTCAAGACGTGGACACTTTGGGCTTTTGCCCCACTTGGAGTATCACGGTCTGAGGTTCAGGGTTGAGGGCGCCACGGCCTAACTAAAGATATATACTGTAATATATATATATATATATATTTATATTTTTATATATTTATATATTTATATATTTATATATTTATATATTTATATATTTATATATTTATATATTTATATATTTATATATTTATATATTTATATATATATATATATTTATATATTTATATATTTATATATTAATATATTAATATATAATATATTAATATATTAATATATTAATATATTAATATATTAATATATTAATATATTAATATATTAATATATTAATATATGAATATATTAATATATTAATATATTAATATATTAATATATTAATATATTAATATATTTATATATGTATGTCTTGGCTGAGTCTGCTTTTGAAGGTCGTGTCTTGAATCATAGGGCTTTAGGCTTGAAGTGGTCAGGTGGGGGGGGAATTCGTTTCGGAAAGGTTGTTCAAACCGCAAACTCGAAGCAATGGGTCATCAGGGTTCCGAAGCCCTAAACCCTAAACCTTATAACCCTAAACCCTAAACCCTAAACCCTGATTGGAACCGGTCCAGGTTGCCGGCCCCGACCTCTCCATCGAGACCAGTTCTTCTGAACGAGCGGCTGAAAGTGGCCCGTCTGCAACGTTTGTGGGCCCTAGACCCGCCTAAAGGCCAGCCTTTTATTGAGTTGAAACCCTAAACCCTAAACCCTAAACCCTAAACCCGAAACCCTAAACTCTAAACCCGAAACCCTAAACCCTAAACCCTAAACCCTAACCCCTAAACCCTAAACCCTTCTTTCGACTCCTTGAGGTGAAGTCGTACGATGGTGGGTCCCAGCGAGGGCGAGCTCAATATGACATCAGGCATCCCCCGGCCCCCCGAATCCTTTTCTCGCGGCGCCTAAAGACCCATCGAAGTCGGGTTAAAAGGGGGCCTCCATGGGCCCCTGTCTAATATTTATATTATTAGTACTAGTATGAATATTTAGAATTACTAAATAGTAGTATTATTCTTAATATTAATATTACTCGCGCCTGCTTTGTCGCCCGGTTGTCGTCAGGGTGTTCTTTTCGCCTGTTGCGGAGTTCGCTACATAGGATTGACACTCGAACTTCGAGGTTTCCGCCCAGTCCGACCGGTGGGCTTTGATGACTGCAGGGTCTGGGTGTGGCTAGGGTTCCGGAGCAAAACTCTTAAGACTTACGATGGCTTACCTTGCAATGACCACAAAACCCTAAACCCTAAACCCGAAACCCTGAACCCTGAACCCAAAACCCTAAACCCTAACCCCTAAACCCTAAACCGGTCTCATGAACATCTTCAAGCCCTGGACCCGGTCTTGCTTGGTCAGGCATGTCCTCACTCCTTTAGCCTGAGTCTCAGAATTGATTCGTCGACAGCTCTCGAAAGGATAATGGGAGTGGCACAGAAGGTTCAGGCTTGGGTTTAAGTCGCAGCAGTTCGAAATCCAGAGTTTGGGGCTCAGGTGCGAGTAGGTAGCGTTTGAACCTGCACCTAAGGCGGACCCTTATCACAGCTCAAACAGCGGCACGAAGTTTAACTTAGCCTGGAGCCCAGATGTGTTGCGAAAGCCGCTTCATGCTGCTGTTCCGATGTAGTTGGTACGCCCTGCAGCTTGTTCCCTGAACCCTTCAAAGCTTCTGTGGTGCCAAGGTACTGGAAAGCTCTGATTCTTGGCAGGGATACTGGACCCTACAAGTCCACCTTGAAGACCTGACAGGGAGGGCAGGGGCTTGTGGCTTAAAGAGTTGTTAGGAATCCTGAAAACAAAGCCGTGCAACCGGCCCCTCGACTGCTCGAGCCCTGTGATGAAAGCATGCCAGACGGGATTCCTCTCCAGCCCTGCATTGCTCAGGAAGACTTCACTTTGACACACGTCTTCGTAGCTGGTCCGGGATCGCGGTGCCCGGTTCTCAGCCATCGCAGTTTTGTCCCACCCCTTCTTCCCGGGGTGGTGCTTGACGTCTTGGGCACGGTCCCATTACACCGTGAAAGCTGCGATTTGTCCAGCCTGTGGGGGACCCTTTAAGTTCGGGTCCCTTATGTATGACTACGAACTCGAGTTTAGCCGAGCCTATGCTCCGGCTCGTTTCTGGTGTTCAGTACCCCAACGAGGGAGCATAGGGGGAAAGAGCTGATCTGAGAAGATGGCTGTGTCCATCCAACCCCACTACACAGACTCAGAGGGACACGCAAAGACACACAGAGACGGAGACACACCCACCCAACCACCCACCCACCCGTATCCAAATCTTCCATCACCCACCCACCCACCCACCCACCCACCCACCCAACCACACACACGCGCACGCACGCACGCGCACACGCACAGACGCAGAGACACACAGGGACACACAGAGACACGCAGAGACTCACAGAAACACAGAGGGACACCGAGACGACTCGCAGAGACTCACAGAGCAGTTCTGCTCACTGCAAAACTCTGTGGCCGAGGTTCTGAGCCAGTTAGAAACGGCCTTGTGTTCGTGTCGGCGGTGCTGGCCCGATTGGGTTTAGGGTTTAGGGTTTAGGGTTTAGGGATTAGGGTTTAGGGTCTAGGGATTAGGGTTTAGGGTTTAGGGTTTAGGGCATCGACACAGAGCCTCCCAACCCCAGGATGTACGGCTCTCAACCCCCAAGCATCAGAACCCAAGCGGCTCTGAGATCAAGCAGCGCCCTCTAACGAAGCCTTTCGGGGTTTAGGGTTTAGGGTTTAGGGTGAGGAGCAGCTCTACCCCAAAACTCGACTCGAAAGCCTCACCCCGGAATCCAAGCTCTACGACTTAACCCTGAACCCTGAACCCTGAACCCTAAACCCTCAACCCTCAACCCTCAACCCTCAACCCTCAACCCTCAACCCTCAACCCTCAACCCTCAACCCTCAACCCTCAACCCTAAACCCTAAACCCTAAACCCTAAAGCCAGCCAGGACTCGTGTCCATCAGTGGAAGATAGCAAGCGCTACGACTCCCTCAGCGAGGAGGACAGGGGGATATCCTTGGAAGCCACAGCATGGCTCGGAGCCTTCAACAAATGTGGGCAAAGCTAACCCCTACCTCCTAAGCCCTACACCCTAAACCCTACACCCTAAACCCTGAGCCCTAAACCCTAAACCCTAAACCCTAAAGCCGAAACCCTAAACCCTAACCCTAAACCCTATTAGAATCCAAACTCTTCATTCAGGCAAGTTCTGGCGAAACCCAACGTTTGCCAGGCAACCCAACCCCCAACTCTTGAACAATTCTGGGCAAATAAGTGGTCCGCATGCTTGCCAGCTGGCTGCTTTATTCTGTTCGCCCGCATGTCTTCCAGCCTCCATACAGCAATATCCTAAACGAGTGAGGGGCCGCAAAACAAACTCTTGAGCAAGTATGGGCTGCTGGAACTTCCACCCCCTTAAAGGCGATCTCTTCAGCATGTACGTGCCTGTTAAACAAGTGTAGGCTGCCAGGCCGCACGCCTAACAAGCTCTCAAGCAAACTGCGGGCAACTCTTAACAAAGGTCGGGCTGCTCGTCAGTGAGCCCTTGAACCCGTGCGGGCTGCCGTTCCACTATAGCTCTGGTTCAAAGTGCGGGTAGCTCCGAAGCAAGTGCGGGCCTCGAGCTCTTGAGTAAGTTCGGGCTGCTAGCCCATTCCGCCACTCCAACACAAGCCCTTCAGCAAATCGAAAGCAGTTCTTGGCAAGGGCAATGTTGGCGCGCGAGCTCTCAAACCGAAACTGCCAGCTTCAACGCCTTCCGCCACCCCTTGCAAAGCGCAGACAGCTGCAGAGCTGCTATAGCGTGCGTGCACCCATTCCATAAGCAAGTGCTCGTCTAAAGGAAGTGCCGGCTGCTGCTTCGCACACCTTCCACCATGGCATGAGTTTCCCTTCAGAGCCTCGAAAGCTCGAAATTCCCCTTCCGGAGGAACTCCAGGAAGCGGTGAAAGGCACGTGGTGGGGTTGTTTTATGTTTTTTGGATATGTGTGGCAGCTGAGAGCATGACTGGCACGTGCGCCATGGGGGGCTTCCAGTACTGGGTCCGGCATTGACGGGACCGCAGTGCGGGTATCGGGATGGCCTTTGTTAGAGAGATTTTGGGTGTGAGGATTTAGGTTGAGGGTCGAGATTTAAAGGCATTGGGGTTTTGGGTGTATTGTTGAAAGCAGCGCAGCCCGAGCAGCACATCGTTGCCATTGCAACCGCAAGCCAAGACCCCGAAGCCCTAAATGTTGAAAACCGCCACATACACCCCTAGACCCCAAGCCATCACGCCTTGAACCTGAAACTTTGAGTTCACTGTGCTCTGTCCTCTCGTTACCCAAAACGCCCCACATCCACAAAACCTCAACGCCACATCCCGCCTTCCGCCAGCTGCTACTGCCGGCACTGACCAGACCCTGTGGGAACCTCAGCTCTTGAGGTCTTTTGGATGATTTGCATGTCTCACTTTTGTTTGTTTCTCAGGCGTTGTGTTTTCTGCTAGCTGCCTGAACCCTGAACCCCTGAACCCTGAACCTATCTCCCAAAGCCTCTATGCGCTGCGCCCGTCTTGCGGCCCCCCAGGCCTTGTGCATTCTTCCGGACAGATGCAACCAGCCGGGAGGCACCCTTCGTGATTTTAGGATTCGTGGGCTTCACGGGCGTGTGTTCCCCCTTATACTGACAGTCCTGAATAGGGACGATCAAAGGGGGTACTCCCTATTAAGGACCGTTCGTATGAGGGGGAACATCCCCATGCGTGACTCGAGTTTAGGGTTCAGGCCTGGGGGTTGCAGAGTCATGGTTCTGACGATTGGCCCCCGGTTGAGGACTTGTCTTTAAAGTGGAACCCTAGACTCTAAACCCTAAACCCCAAACCCCAAACCCCAAACCCTAAACCCTAAACCCCAAAACCCCAAAACCCTAACCCCTAAACGTGGGCAACCCTCTGAGGTGGAAGTGGAACTCCCGAAGTGGGTGGAGGCGCACAGGGAGCCCAGGGTTTGCACGGGTCCGCGTAGCGAAACGCTCCTGGAAGCAACTCAGAGGCCTTTCGCTGCACCCCTGGTGCAATATCCATTTAGGCAGTTTCCTCCTAAATTAGGGGTCCCTTTTTGGGTACCCCTTACAAGGCGGCACCCTTTAAAAAGGGATCCCAAAAAGGGGCCCTTGTTTAGAGAGCTATCCATTTAGGCTGGGGATGTTGGTCTGGGCCGGGGGCTGAGGTCAGGTGGTCTGGCCCAAGACTTGCTCGGGTTATAAAAGCAACACGTCGAGTCATGTCCTCCAACTTGTGTGTCTACGCAGTTTTCATCTTGAAGCACCCGATCTTGATACTTGATCTTTTCACGCTCATTCTTCTCCATTTCCGTATTGCACATTCATGAGTTCAGTCTGTCCTCAACTGCTGGCACGTCCGTGGTTCTTTGGTTCAGGGTTCAAGGCACCTTGAAGTCTGACCTTTCGAGTAGCTTGAGTAGCTTGGGGCTTTCAATCCAAACCCACACCATGTTCACCCTTGACTTGTACAAAGTTCCGGGCAGCCTGGACCTGAAGATTCTTTGGCTTGAGGTTTAGAGTTGAGGAGTGTTTCGCTGCTTTCGGCGCTCAGAACCTTTACCCAGACCAGCCGCATAAGATCTCCAAAATCAAACTTTTAACAATCGCGTGAGGTGGGCCAACCTGAAGTGTGGAATAGTTCACCCCCCCCCCCTTCCCCCCCCCCTTCCCCTTCCCCCTCCTCCCCAAAGCACGGCAAGCTTTCAAGACGAGTCTTGTGAGGGCAAGTTTATCCTGGTCAAGCTGCTGGACACGCACGGGCGGCAGGACCTCCAGTGGCATCGGCATGCCAGGGATTCCCAAGATTTAGGATTCCTTTCGTGTTGCGTTCTTCTGTGTTGCGTTCGAAGCCGTACAGTGTTTGCGCCGCACGCGCTGATTCCCTTTGGTTTGAGGAGCACTGAACCTGAATCCCATGCCACGGAGCCTAACCAAAAGAGACCCGAAACTCCAGAACTGCCAGGGTTCCAACGGCCTGAAGTCCCGAACTTCCCTGAGCCTCCTCCAGTCCCAAAACGCCAGCCTACTACAGGCCTAAAGGCTTGAGGGAAAGCTTGCACTCGAGCTCCTAACCACCCGGTCGGCTCTAGGCCCCTTGCGTGTGCGGAGGACCACATAGAGGTTGGAGTGCTGGCTTTCGTGGGCCACAGCGGCCGCAGGTCAGCAGAGCAGGTGCGCTGAGGGGCCGTGAGTTGCGTTCTGTTAGCAGAGTTTGGGGTTTAGGGTCTCCTGGGTCATTCAGGGTGGTGCTTGAGAGCATCGCCTGGACGTCGATGGTTCTGGAGTTTGTTTCCGGGCAGAAGGATTAGGGCTCCTCAGCGGGTTAATAGTCTTGCAACCTTAGCTGTGTCTGCATAGCCCTGTGGGGTAGGGTACTGGGCTCGTCTATCTTTTCATGTTGAGTTTGCTGACGTGACCCCAACCACGGCCCCCCCTCAACTCTAGCCCGCTGAACCTGAAACGCGAACCTGACATCTGGACCCCTACCTGACCTGGCAAGTCCCCTTTTTTCTTCATGCTTTTTTTTGTTCGTTATCCCTCTCTTTCTCTTTCTCTTTCTCTTTTCTCTTTCCTCTTTCCTCTTTTCTCTTTTCTCTTTTCTCTTTTCCCTTTTCTCTTTTCTCTTTTCTCTTTTCTCTTTTCTCTTTTCTCTTTTCTCTTTTCTCTTTTCTCTTTTCTCCTTTCTCCTTTCTCTTTTCTCTTTTCTCTTTTCTCTTTTCTCTTTTCTCTTTTCTCTTTTCTCTTTTCTCTTTTCTCTTTTCTCTTTTCTCTTTTCTCTTTTCTCTTTTCTCTTTTCTCTTTTCTCTTTTCTCTTTTCTCTTTTCTCTTTTCTCTTTTCTCTTTTCTTTTCTCTTTTCTCTTTTCTCTTTTCTCTTTTCTCTTTTCTCTTTTCTCTTTTCTCTTTTCTCTTTTCTCTTTTCTCTTTTCTCTTTTCTCTTTTCTCTTTTCTCTTTTCTCTTTTCTCTTTTCTCTTTTCTCTTTTCTCTTTTCTCTTTTCTCTTTTCTCTTTTCTCTTTTCTCTTTTCTCTTTTCTCTTTTCTCTCTCTCTCTCTCTTTTCTCTTTTCTCTTTCTCTTTCTCTTTCTCTTTCTCTTTCTCTTTCCTCTTCCTCTTCCTCTTTCTCTTTCTCTTTCTCTTTCTGGCTCTCTCTTTCTCTTTCTCTTTCCCTCTTTCTCTCTCTCTCTCTCTGTTCTGTCTCGTGAAGCGAAAAGCCACCGTCAGAAGGTGGCATTTGGACCGTGGATGCGTCGATCTGTCCGGCAGCCCAAGGCCAGAGCTCTCGTTCAACGGAGGTGTCGAAAGGCGGTATTCCAGGATGGGCTATGAGACTCTATGATCCCCAACAATGAACCCTGTAAAGCGCCTTTTTAAGGGGCTATAGGATATAATGGCCCGTCCTAAACCGGGGGTGAAGGCAATTTGAGGGGTTTAGTTCGAGTTCAGAGAAAGCTCTGACGCAGGAGGCTTCTTGTCCTGCACAGCCCGACCTGCGGATACCCAAAGCCCGTTAGTTTCACCCTCTCTCGCCCTCGGGACAGAATGCTTGGCGGGCCATGCTTCACATAAACCTCTTCGTTGTTTTCTCAGGGTTTTCCCAGGCCTTCACGAAAAATCTCTTCGCCCTAGGCCAAAAAAACCCTAGCTGCCGTGCCAGGTCCATCCGAACTGCCTGAAAAGCATGCGCATGCCTTAGTTAGTTCACTGCACAGCCGGGCTCAGAGCCCAGGGCATCTCCCGGGAGATTCGAGTTTCGGCTGCTTAGGGTTTGGGCTTGCTAGTGGTTGCCCTTATCACCCTCCCTGATCAGCGTCTTCAAGCCCACCGAAAAACGCCCTGAAACCTCTGACAACGTCACAGCTCTAAGAGTTTCGGCTTGGACTCCAAGCCCGAAACGAAATCTTGAGGGCTCCGGTCAGGACTTGATGCTTCTGGTTTGCGGCTTCGGGCTGAGGGTGCAGACCCCGAACCAACAACCCTCAAGTGCTATGCGCCCCCTAAACCCTAAATACTAAACCCTAAACCCTAAACCCCAAACCCTAAACCCTAAACCCTAAACCCTAAACCCTAAACCCTAAACCCTAAGCCCTAAACCCTAAACCCTAAACCCTAAACCCTAAACCCTAAACGCCCGTAAAACGCCACTCATCTCATGAGTCGCCCGAAAGAGCCTCTGAGGTTCTCCAGCGGTGGCTGGGTATGTGATGGACGTGATGTGCCTGGTGGTTGCAGAAGTGGAATGACAGACTTCCACCAAACCTCCGTCCGGCTCTGAGAGCTTTCGATAAAAGTTTTGCATTTGTTTTTTGGGGGGGCCTTGTTGAAGCAAGAGAAGAAAGCGCCTTCATTGTAAGGGACAGGAGTCATTCGATTTTTGAAAGATCCCGTGCGACGCGGCTTTCGGGCGCGCTCAAGACGCTAAGTCTCAATCATCGGCGCTCAGCCTGATTCTTTCATGGGAAGCCTGAACCTGGGTTTAGGGTTTGGGGTTTAGGGTTTAGGGTTTAGGGTTTAGGGCTTATCAGCAAGAGCCTGGCATCTAAACGGGGAGGGTTTTAGGTCCAGCAGTCGAGGGCAGCTGAGGGCAGTTTATTTGAGGGCAGTTGCGGGCACTTGTGGGCAGTTGGGGGCAGTTGTATTTAGGGTTCTTTAACGTTAAACAACCCTAAAACCCTAAATATTTCGGGTCTTAGGGCATTTTAACGTTAAAAAACCCCTAACTTGGGGGCTTTCAGAGAAAGCTCCCGGGAAGGTTGGGGGCCCTTTTTGCCCTTTGTGCTCAAAGCCGAGGTCTTCACGATGACCTTCCGCTGCCCGGCGACTGGGTTCGACCTTTGCGAGGCCCGGAGCCTTTGGTGACAGGGCTGTCAGGGAGTCTGGGTGTCTCACTGGGGGATTTTTTTTTGTTTTTTGGGGGTTTTGGGGGATTTTTTTTTGCTTTTTGGGGGTTTTGGGGGGAGATTCTGAGTATGTGGTTTTGAATTCTGGTGATCAGTGGTCTTGCCTCCGTTTTGAAAGCTGTGGGGTCTGTCTGGTTTATTGATCTACCTGTTCAATTCTGAGAGGCCCTAAGGCCTACTTTTTTGCGAAGCGACATGCAAGCCGAACAGTCTGCGTTTTTGTTTGTTTTGTTTCATTGTGTGTTCTTTGTTGGCGGGGGGCAGGGCAAACCCTGAAAACCCCCAAAGGCCTCTAACTCCCACAGTTCTTGAAGTTGCTGCAGTAAGGGACCAGTCGAGACCAGGTCATTTGGAGTTTCACATGAAAAGTGCCTCTGGACGTAGGTGGTGCATCTTCTGACACCAAATGGGCATGCCGACAAAGCGCGACCTGCACACTCTTCATTTGAACCCTCAAAAACATAGAACGGTTAAGGCGGCAACCTGAAGCTAAAGAGCCAAAGGGCCCCTCAAGAGCCCAAGAAGCTTGAGACCTGAGGCCTCAAAATCCCGACCGAAACTTGAACCCTTAACTCCCCAGTCCCGAACCCCACGAACTTGATCGCCTATTGCCCCCCCCCGAACCCCCCCACGCCTGAAGCCCTGATGATGTGAAGGCCTGTGCCTTCGATCCTCTTCTTGGCCCGGGAGCCTTCCGAGAGGGACTTCAAGTTGTAAACTTGGGGGCCTGAGCGCGGTAGGCGGTAGGGTTGACAGGTAGAATCCCGGACCCCCGGCCCTAAACACCCCAGATGCCGAACTTCATGAACTCAGTGTCTTGGTAGAGCTTGCGGGAACTTGTGGTTTTTCGGTTTGGGCCCGAAATCCTGAAAGCCGTGCAGGCTTGGGCGGTATAGGGGTGGAGGCAAGGGCTTGGGTTGAGCATTCTTCGATCGAACCCTGCGGGTTCTCAAACCCCGACGCTCTACAGTTCTAATTCTAAAGTCCTCACTCCAGGACCAACGGGCCCAACCTATAACAAAACTTCAAAGTAGCATGAACCGGACATCAAGGTCAGGTGACCGAAGAGACGGTGCGAGCAGACATTGAGGTGGGGAACAAATGTCCGGCCTCAAAATCTTCGCTCGTAGGACTCTATGACTGGGCTTAGAGTTCAAGTCTGGGGTTCAGAAAGATGGGCTTGGAAACTGTACTCGGGTCCTCAATAGGATTTGCAGATCCCTGGGACTCAAATGCCAGAGCCCTCAGCAAGCCTCAACCCTAAACCCCCGAGCCCTCTAACTCTACCTAACACCCGAAAACCATGATTGTTGCCTCGAAGCATTACAGTTTTCGGGCGCTCCAACAGCCTTGACCCATCGGGGTGGAGATGCAGAAGAGGAGTTACTGTTCCTCATGGCTTTCACCGGTGGGCTGCTTTTCAGCTACGCCAGCTCTGCCCAAGATCATCTCTCGGCTTTAGCTATTCTGGGTGGCAGAGATTTTAGAAAACACGCTGCGTTTGCATACCAACTTGTTGTAGACCCTCCCAAGCCACACAGCACCTACAGACCTTGACAGGCCAATCGCAGTCCCCCCCCCCCCCCCCCCCCCCCAAACTGGCCAGGCTCTTCGAGACCCCAACAAGTGCCGGCTGGTGTGTGGCTCAGGGCGGCCTCCATGGCCTATGCTGGGGTCTGCGAAAAAGGGGCCTTCCCTTGTGTGGCCCTATGTGGCCCCCTGGTAGCCCGACACCGGGCTGGTTGCACCGTATTGGCGAACCAGCCTCCGGGGTAAAAGCTTGAAGGTGACAGAGCTTGGTGGCTGTGAGTGCAGCGCCGAGGCATGCAGCCGAACTCGCAACTTGTTGCGGAGGACACGTCGGAAGGGTTAGGGATAGTAAGGTGAGTTGCAGCCGTGACTTTCTGCAACCTGTGGAAGTTGACAAGGATACCTCACGTAGTTCGCAGGTCGTGTTGCGAGATAGTATCAAGTTCACCAATTTGGGGAGCAGATGCCCACAAAGACACGTGGGGCATAGATTTCTACGGGCTTCATCACTACCTGCCTAGTGCACTTTCGCACCCAGAAAGATACGAGGAGCATCACGAAGTCACGAAGTCCCGCTCAAAGCATGAAGCAATGACTTCCATTGTGTCGACCTTTCTCTCATCTGCCTTTCGTCTGCACTTTGCGCCGCGGCCAGAGCTCTTTAAATGACATGCCACAGGCTCTTGCATGTCTTTGCCAGCCACACACTATGACCTTATCCCTGGTCTCTACGCCCATTCGCTGTAAACAAGCTGAACAGCCACTGCCGCGCACCAAAACCCCTCGCTGGGGGCATCCTCAGGAGCTCCGTAGCTGCAAGACACCCCCGAAATCTGCCCCCGAAGTCTGAAACCCTAAACCCTAAACCCTAAACCCTAAACCCTAAACCCTAAACCCTAAACCCTAAACCCTAAACCCTAAATACTTTCTCATCCTGTGGTGATTTTTAAGTGTATCCTCCGTGACCTTGCGTAGGAACTGGCTGGCGTCTTTGCCGGCTCCTCTGCTCTTGGTGCTGGGTGCCCTCACTTCTTGGGGGTGTCGAGGGATATCCTGAGCCCTGAATGCCTGAGACTGGTCTTGGAGCATCTCATCGAGGCTTTGGGGCTTAAGTTTCCAGGTTTAGGGTTTCGGGTTTAGGGTTTAGTGGCTCAAGGGGACCCTTGAGGCTTTTAGGGTCTAGAGAAACTTTTTGCGCAGAGAATGGGGCTGTGCTTGACAGGCATGGTCATCAACGTTTGTGCCCCATCTGTTCCGCCCTGATCCTTCAATCTCACTCCAACGCGAACAAGCCCACATCGTGTAGCCGTTGATCGTCCTTCTATCGTAGCGACCGCGAAAATAAATTGCATGTACATGATCTGTAAGTTCAACAGGCGCAGTCTGCATTGGCAGCTGCGCATTTTGCAAAAGTCAGGGTAGAGGTTCCCTCACCAGGATGTGCTCATAGAGTCTTTTGCAAGGATGCCGTACAATGTCTTGACGGGTGAGAGTCTGCAGAGATTGTGTGCACTCTCTCGGGGGGTCAACCAATAAGCAGGCTCTCGCACAGGCCGTGGGAATCTCCGGCCTCCTGGCGTCCCAAAGCCACATTCAAAGACCCAATTCTTTCAGCAGATCTCTCGTAGTATTCAGGTCTCTAGCGTTTTAAATAGTTTTTTCTCTTTTGGTTTTCGTCTTTTGGTGTGTGTTTGCGGTGGCCGGGTACACAAATCATAACTATAGCTCAAAAAAAGTTTGTAACACATTTCCTTCTTAATTACTGTTCATATACAATATCATGTGAAAGGAATTTGGTGCACATGTGTATTGAACATGCCAGAGTTTCCAGCAACAAGATAAAACGAGTGAACACTGACTATTTATGCTACACATTAATAATAAGTTGTTTTCGTTCCG